CACCTACACTAAGCTTAAGTACTCTCCAAAAGAATCATTTAAATGACATAAACTTACCAGAGACCAATATGTTTTTGGACATAACAAAACTCAGCAGCTCAACTGAAAGATCCCCACAGGCTCTATTGTCAGCTACCATTTTTATCTTACAAGGACCTAGGACATCCTTACTGCCATTACCAACACAGAGCTGTTTTAGAAGTCCTGACTCAATAGATTCCATTCTTCTGAAATAAGTCTGCACTCTCTTAAATATGCAGGCCCCAGTTTTCATAACTGTATCTGCTAGGATAGCCTGGGTTGTTAAATGAGCAGCTCCAAAAATCTTGGTTGTTTAGTACAATAAAAGTTTATTTTTTGCTCAAACAAAATTTGTTGTGGGTCAGGGTGGCTGTCCAGGGCATCTATCTGCCCATTCCCCTGCCCCCCTCTCCACCATCCCCACACAATATAGTAGCTGAAAACATAGGCTGCCTTGGTATTTCAGCTCTTCTAGTTCAACACAAGACACCCTCCATAATTGCAATGGCAGGGCAGCAGAGAGACTTGAGAACTGCAGCTTTTCACTGCCATAACCCAGATGATTCGTCATTTTAACTCACATACCATTAGTCATAATAGTCGAGTGACCCTGTCCACTTGCAAGAGCAGCTGAGAAAAATCACCATAAGAAGAACAAGATATTGTTGAATACTAGTAATATCTACATAATAATCTGTACAATCTATGTCTTTTATACAGGCATAGAAATAGCCATTTGGAAATAGAATCATTTATTTCAGATGGGTCATCAGGGGCCATAAGGACCCCTTTTATCAGCATGCTGCTGCTTGGGCTTACCAACCCAAAATATTCCCATTTGTCCAGCTTTTCTCTTTTTTCTACCTTTAGTGAAAGGGCATGCAGGGGCATGTGAGGGTGTGGTGTGGGGTACAGGAGGGAGGAGGAGGAGAACTTCAATGAAGAAAAGAGAAGGAAGGGGAAACAAAATCCACAGGCTCTCTTCATTTCCCACCACTATGTTGGTCTTTGCAATTATCATAAATCCTACTTCATCTCTTCTTCCCTCTACCTAAGCCTCTTGCTGTTCTTCAACAAATGCCCAAGAAATTTGAAATCTGGACATTCTTTTGAACAGAAATGGATCCTATTACATTCTATAGGCATGGAAAGACTTGTTATTAGCACCTATCTGCAAATTTCACCTATCACTACACCATAGGAGTATTAGAAAAAAAAGTAGGTGATAATAGAGAAGGAAATAGGCTTTTAAAAATTATCCACTGCCAATTTGTTGTACATAGACCTTCAACTGATTTGATGAGGTCCACCCATTGTTTTTTTAATGTTTTATATTTTATTTTTCAATTACAGTTTACATTCAATATTAATTTTTTTTTAGTTTCAGGTGTATAGCATAGTAGTTGGATAATCATATACTTTACAAAGTGATTCCCCTAATATTTCAAATACCCACTTGACACCATACATAGTTATTACAATATTATTGACTATATTGTCTGTTTTGTACTTTATATCCCCATGACTATTTTCTAACTACCAGTTTGTAGTTCTTACTCCCTTCATCTTTTCAACCAGCCCCAAACCTCCTTCCCTCTGTCAACCATCAGTCTGTTCCCTGTATCAACGAATCTGTTTCAATTTTGTTTGTTTAGATTCCACATAAAAGTGAAATCATATAGTATTTGTCTTTCTATCTGACTTATTTCACTTAGTGTAATACCCTCTAGGTCCGTCCATGCTGTCCATCCACAGATGTTAATATTTTGGAATTTTATGGCCAAGTAACATTCCATTGCATATAAAAGAGCTGCACCACAGCTTTTTTTATCCACTTGTCTATTGATGGCACTTTGGTTGCTTCCATATGGGGAAGCTCAATCTTCTTTGCTCAGTCTACAGATTCAAATGTTAATCTCATCCAGATATACTTTTCAGACAAACAGAACAACCTTTGGCCAAATATCTAGGCCACCCATAGACCAGTCAAGTGGACACATAAAATTAGCCATTATACCTATTCTCCCATGGTTATGAGAAGGAAAATTCCTAAGCAAATCTCAGTAGGTGCATGATTAAGGAACAGGTGATTGGAGAAAGCTATGAGAATCTAGTCTATTCCATACTACTATATTCCTGCCTTCCCAGCACTACAGTATTAACATTTGTTAAATGACTGAACTAATGGTATGAGGAAAAGAGAAGTAACTCTCTAACTCTTTAAAAAGACTGAAGGAGGCAGACCTTCTGAGAGGCAGGTACAGACTCAGTAGGACCTCCCTGGGAGCCCTTAATCCCCAAAAGCCTCACTCCCTCTTTTTGCCCCCACTCTGCCTGGGAAACCTATCACCATTTTTATTGTTTCTATACAGAAATGGATCCTGAGTTTTAAACAACAAACTTAAAAACTTTGAGGTGTTTTTAAGTTGGGAATGCCTTCTAATACTGTTCATTATGGGAGAGGAACGTTACTTACCTTACTATCTAAGAGCCAGAGGTTGCTTATGTTTTTACCCCATTTCCCATTATCTGCTTTTACTGTAGCTCCAGAAAGTTTGGCTAAAAATTACCTAACACATAAACATGATGGCTGGTGGTCCCAGTCGCCTGCCATCAGCTACGGCAGTGTGCCACACTGCTGCCAGGTGTTACTACTGGCTGGCTCATATCCACAAAGCTCCTGTACATGACAAGTAATTGAAGTGGACTGTAACTCATTTTTGTGGGTTTTGACCTCTTAAAGTTTAATTCCAAAAGAAATATATCTTTCAAAGGATTTCTTTTGACAAAAGTAAAGTATTATGGCAGATTATATTTTCCTTAAATGACTGCAACAATATTTCTCATTCCACATGCTCTTCTTATGAGATTGTCATAAGTCAGTACAGCTACTGCCTTGCCCTCTCTTGGAACACTCACTTTTGGATCATAGCTGCCAGGCAGTGAGAAAATAAGCAGGTACTTGGACAGGTCACATACAGGTATTCCAGTTGACAGTCCCAGCTAAGTTCCCAACAACAGCCAGCATCAACTGCCAGACATGTGAGTGAACAAGCTTTCAGATTCCAGACCATGGCCTCAACTTTTGAGCTGATGTCATGCAGTGCAAGCTAAACTGTCCCATTGAGCCTTGCCCAAAATGCAAATTTGTAAGCAAAATAAAGGATTGCTGCTTTTGAAGCCACTGAGTTTCTGGTGACCTGTAAGTATAAATTAACACTACTGTGATGCTTAACATATATTTAAATCATGTCCAATCTCTGAGGTCCATCTTTAATTCTTTTGTAGCCAGTGAAAAATTCATGAAGGATACAGACATAGGAACTATGTCCTTAGTCCTATATTTTCACAAAGCAATCCTCCTGCAAGTCTGAGAATCATGGTGACCTCAGCTGATCAGGTTATTTCTCGATTCAACTAACCCTATACACCCTAACACCAATTTGCAGAGCACAGGTGGCAAACATAAGGCCTGCAGGCTGAATTTGGCCTGACACCTTGTTTCTACCTGGCAGCAGTGCCGAGCTCCTTGCCCCTAGTTAAGGAGCAGTTACATTTGTACAGTCCTAAAATTACATTAGGCCCTTTGAAGGCAACCGTGAGGCTGATGTGGCCCCTGGTGAAAACGAGTTTGACACCCCTGTTGTAGAGAATTTACTGGTATCTTTTCAGAATAAACAGAATGAGAGGTTTCTTGCTTTACTAAAATCTGTAAAACTGACTCCTTCCTACACCCTTATCCCAATTCTCCTTAGAAATTTTGAACAGGGGGTTGGCAGATGAAGGTGGATAAGGGTTATTTTTACAACTGTTTCCTGGACAATTCACATATTCTTCCCTAAGCTTTCCTAAGGGAGTATGCTGGATAACAATTGGTGAATTGTTATCCTTTTTGTTTTGTAACGATTATGGTGTAAGGGGTTTCATCTCAGAAAATGTTTGGACTCTCAGAACAAACTTTAACTTAAAAAATACAATTAATCAGTTGTTTCTCCCTCTTTTTTGGCCTCCAAAATGTTTAAAATAACTGCTTACACGGAAGATTATTATGTGTAGTTATTGGGAGAATCCAAACATGTACAGGACATGGACTTTTGATCTTTCAAGACGAGTTATAGGTGTTACCAGTGAAAGTGAGGTAGCCATATTGTAGCACGATCAGCTTTGAGGCAACCAAGAAAAAACCCTGTAATTTGTAATCAATTCTTAAAAGTTATTGTTCTGGAACCTAGTCCTATTAGTCAACATGTCAAAGAACTCAACTACGTCCTTTTCCTTATTAAAAAGACTCAGTTTCCATAGAGTCAAAACAAAACAATCTTTAGTAGTCTTTTCCTGACTCGTTTCTCCTTTTCTTTTCCCTAGATCCTTTCTCTAGATTCCATACATGCCTTTTCGCATTCAGCTTCTCTTGACCGTTTCTTTTCGCTTATTTGGTTATCCCTGCTTCCCGTCCTTTTTTTTACATTAGCCTGCAGCAAGTTACTCTCTCCCAACTCTTCATTCTTGGAATTCACCAGCCCTGGATTATATCGTGTGCCTTTTAGAAGTAAGACTCGACAAAAAGGCTAAGGAAACCGTGCAGTGAATCCCTAAATTTCATCCTTCTCAAATGCACCGGCTACACCCGAGGCCTGTGGAGCCGGGAGACTGTGCTCCCAGCCCAAGTGACAGCGACGTGCAATTGTAAGCCTCAGGCAGCCTCTGCTGACGAGGCAAGGAGCAGTAACAGCAGTAACAAAGGAAGCAAGCCTGGAAGGCGCCGCCAGCTCGGCCACGGCGGCGAGACGGGACCAGACGAGAATCCTGCGCGCCTCCCACACTCCGAGCCGAGAAACTCACGCTCAGGAGGGCCAAAATGGCGCCGTCCTCGCGGTCGCCTCGCCGTGGGGGGCGGGGCCAGGCACCTCACGTGACCTCCCCCGCGGGCTGCGCGCCCCCTCCCCTCTGCCCTAGGCGCGCTCCGGGAGTCCCGCGGCCGCGCAGATCGTGCCCCACCGATTTGGGGGCGTCCTTCCTTGTGCTGGGGCGGCAGTGAGGCTCTTTCCCAGCAGCCGAGGGCTGGAGCAGGGTCAGGAGAGGGGGCACTGGGCCTTGCAGAGGCAAAGGGGCTGTGGCACGGGTCCCTGCAGCTGAGAAAGGGAGGTTGGAGGAGACGGTGCGGGAGTGCTGGGGAACGGCCAGGTGCTGAGGGCGAGGCTGTTGGGGGAGATTCACCGCAATCCTCCCAGGCCGTGGGCGCCGTCGGGTACTGGGGGCTCCCCTCGGGGCGTCGACCACTTGTCTTGGGCTTTCACAGGTTTCTCATCGCCATCTAGCCTCGAAGCCAGTAGAACTGAAAAACGGCTTCAGCCAAATTCTCCCTTCCCTCTAAGGAGTGGGGACGAGCCCGTCAGTCTAGAGGACTCTATAGGGATGTCCCGGCCTTCGGGGGCTGGGGGGATGGAAGAAGCAGAGGTTGAAAGGGGCGGCGAGAGCGGAGAGCTCCCTCCTTGACAATCAAATGCATCCTTTAGTGTTTCCACCTCCGTTTAGTAGGCTTGGCAGTGCTGACCACCCGGGAGGAGGGACGGGCGACGCTGGGCCGGATCTGACCGTGCCACCTTCATGTGGGTGCTGACGGGGACCCAGGAGGGAACGGGCACGGGGCGCAGCCTCGCCCTACTTCCTCCCCGCCTCCTAAGCGCCGGGGCTGGTGATGTGGCGTCTTGAGGGGACCCGAGGCTGCCCCGGGTTCTCCAGGACTCCACTAGGTACCCGCGCGTCTCGTTGCGCCTGGGGCAGGAGAGGCTGGCGCGGAGCTCGAGGCAGGCAGGCGGGCGGGCAGGCGAACGCGGGGGCAAAGAGCAGAGCTGGAGCCCCAGCTTAGCCATGGGGCATAACGGCAGCTGGATCTTCAGAAACGCCAGCGACCCGCGCAACGCGTCGGGCACAGAGGCGGCAGGCACCAACCGCAGCGCACTCGGGGAGTTCGTCGAGGCGCAGCTGTACCGCCAGTTCACCACAACTGTGCAGGTCGTCATCTTCATAGGCTCGCTGCTCGGTAAGCCGTCCGCGTAGGCGCCTTCTAGGGGGTTTGCCTCGGGGGCACAGGCGCCCATCTGTTGTTCCCTGTATGGCAAAGTGCATATAGTTGAAGGAGGCTTAAGAATGCCAGGGTAACTGCGGGGAAGTTAAGCAGGAACGGTCGACTCATGCCCCTCTCCGGAAGCAGAGGAGTTCGGATAGGGCTTTCTCCCGGCCTGAGGAGCGTTCTTGGGCAAGGTGGAGGTCAGCCTCCCCAGGTCGCCCTTGCGGAACATTTCGGGATGGGCGCAGGATTGTGCTCATAATTTCTTACATCTCGGGTCCCAGGGCAGAGCTCGCTTGTAAACATCTCTTGTTTACAAGGAGGAACAAAGCTTATGTTTTCTTGCTGATGACGGATGTGTTTTCCTCTCCCGTCTGTTCCCTGTATGTAAAATTATTTTGAGAGAACCTTATTTTGCACGTTTTATGGCTTGCTTTTTCAGAGCATCGACCTGCTGGTAAACAACCCTGTGGAGTTAAACTCTTGCGTTCAGAAGTTTTAAACACCAAAACAAAAATCTTGTCTATTTCTCTACCTATGTTTTGTTCGAAGTACAGAATAAAGACAGGATTTTAAAAAAACCACAAAACACCACACACAACAGTTTTAGATATAGTTGTTCGGAAGATCTTTTCTTCCGAACACTGAAATTGAATTGAAATTCATTGAATTGAAATAAGCCACTAGTAAAAAACGTTTGTCCACTAGTGTGAGAATTACTAGTACTTCTAGTAGCTACTCTTTAAGTGATAAATGGTACACTCTATTCATTTCTGTTGTTTTGTTGAACGAGTTGCATAGTTCTTGTAAATATGTGGCTTTGCTTCAATGTAAATTCTCTGATGCGGTATTTACAATGATGTACAAAAATTGTGATTATGTGTGATTTTATGACCAAGAGCAGTCAGTGTTAAAGTTTCATTGTAGGAATAAATTACTTTTTTGTAGACTCCTATGAATTCCAGTAGAAACCAAGATAACTGATATCAAAAGACAGTGGAAGAATTTTAAGCATTTGGAATTTCTCTTAATAATTTCTCTATTATTATCACCCTGACTCAGTCTATTGTAATATTTATCTTCCACTTTTTGTCATGATGGTATTTTCAGGAGTAGACATCTATGCAGCTGTGTCTAGGGACTGTGTGTGTGGGTGTGTAAATGTGTTTTTATGAGTGGAATGTTAAATATACACTGAAAAGCAAAAGCTTGTTTTCGAAGGACTTTCAATATTCATTTAACAAACAACTGAGGGAATACTGATTACCTACTAGGTACCAGACACAATGCACTGTAGGTTATTGAGAGTTAAATTCTAGTATTGTCACATTAACTTAATGGATGTAAGTGTAGATTATTGGGAGGATAGTGGAAGTGCCTGCATTTTTATTTCTGCATTTTTTTTCTTATGTATGTATATGTATGGTTTGTTTTGTTTTGTTTTCCCCATGGGTAGCTTCAACCCTGAAGATGGTGTGGGGAAAAATTTTCCTATAGTCTAATAGAAGGCAGAGCATGTGTGTAAAGGGCAGGGCAAATAGAGCACTATTTATTTATTTATTTACTTATTTGAGAGAGAGAGAGAGAGAGAGAGAGAGAGAGAGAGAAGAGTCACTGAGTTTTGTTGTTTCACTTATTCACTCATTCATTGGTTGCTTCTAGTATGTGCCCTGATCAGAGATAGAATCTGCAACCTTGGTGCATCTGCCCAACACTCCAACCAGCTGAGCTACCAGGCAGGGCAAATGGTACACATTTAACAAATGTCCTGCTTCCTCTGTAATACTTCTGTTTTTGTAACTTGCATTGGATTCAGGAATTACTACGTAAATCTGCCCCTATTTCAACTTTTTCCCACAAAGCTCTTCAATTGACATGCAAAAACTGCTTCTGTGAATGTCTCCAAACAGGAGACTGATTTTCCCCTTGATCTCGTTATGTTTGAGTTGATCGAAGGGGACATATTTTCCCCTCCATGTTGCTTGGGCCCTCCTAAGAGAGAATTCTTTTTCATCATTTTTAGTTTCAGGAAAAGTATAAATATGGTTAAATGTCTAGAAACCAAAAGTCATAGAACTTGTGCAAAAGTGAAAGGTACTTCTGGTTTTCTTAAAAGCTTAGCTAAATAACATTGTCCTGTGTACTTGTTACTTAGTGCTATTCTTGATTCATTGTTCTCTGAGGATTTGACCCATACAAACACATCTATGTTATTGAACCTTCCCAGTAGTAACAGTTGAGGCTCAGAACTTTAGTTTCAGAGTCATGTACAGTCTGTTGCAAGGCAATTAAACTTAGGAAGCATAGTTTTATGAAGCCCCTCCCCCAATAGAAAAAAAAGCAGAGATTAGAATAAAAAGATTTATCATGGAAGAATCTCTATGGCTGAAAAGTGAATGGAGGATGGAATAGTGTCTACAATAGCATTTAACTCTAATCCACATTTTTCCCCTGTCCCAAAACATAAACGAATAAATACTTGTTTTCTCTTTCCCTTTTAAATAAATTCAAATATACTTCCTTTATTTTCTAGAATTTTTCATTGGAATTTCCAGAGGCCCGCTATTGTTTGAAGATAATTCTGTGAGGGAGGGGGAGTTTCTCCCTTGTTCCCGCATAGTTCTTTTGGCTGGTCTAATCGAATTGTCGCGAGACTGATTAACAGGAGTAAATAACCAAATTTATTATGTATGTACATACAGGAGTTTTGTAAGAACCTGAGGAGGACAGATTGGGCAATTGGGGATTATGTGCCATCTTGAACTAAAGAGAAAGGGGGTAGTGGTTTGGACTTCAAAGGAAGGAAGGCAATTTGCAGGTAGATGAGGAGCAAAATTTGGTAAACACATTCTTGCTGGCCCATCCAGAAACAATGGGACTTTGAGGGGATTCTAAGAAACAGAGTGCTAGGTTCCTCCCTGTCTGCCACACTGCATTCATTCATTCATTCATTCATTCATTCCTGGAGCAAGTTTTTAAAATCTGAATTCCGTTAGGCAGACAAAGGGGAGAGCCAAAGGTTCTTCTGAGGTTTTTTTTTTCCTTAAAAATAACCACCTTAAAATAATCAATATCCCCAAAAGGTATGTTTCGGTGTGGCAAACTGTTTCTCTTCAATTCCTTTGTACTACTGATGCCTTACAGCTTTTTCTTTGAAAACCATTTTAGTGTCCAGTATTAGGAAAAATCCCCAACAACTTGGAATAACTGATATTTTGATCATAGGAAACATTAATTGCTGTGTATTTTAGAACTCAAGAATTGTATATAGTATTATTTAAATAATATATCTCTTCAATACCCTGAGCCCTAGGTAACTACTCATCTACTTTCTGTCTCAATGGATTTGTCTGTCCTGGATATTTCGTATGTTATAGAGTCGTATAATATGTGGTTCTTTGTAATTGGCTTTTTTCACTCAAAGTAGTGTTTTCAAGGTTCATCCATGTAATAACATATACTTCATTTGGGTTGAAATGTAGCATATACTTATTGGCTATTAAGCATAATGCTACTATGAACATTTGTGTCATTTTTATGTGGACATAATGTTTTTAGTTCTCTTGGGTATATGGCAAGAGTGATATTTCTGGGTCATATGGTAACTTGATAAATCATCCTTTTCAGGAATTGTCAGATTGCCTTCTAAAGTGGCTGCATTATTTTACTTTCTTAACAGCAGTTCATGAGGGTTCTAGTTTCTCAACATCCTTGTTAACATTTATTATTGTGTTTTTTATTATAACCATTCTAGTGGGTGTTACATGGTGTCTTATTGTGAATTTGATTTACATTTTCCTAATTACTAATGATGTTGAGTATCTTTTCATGCCCTTATTGGCCATTTGTATGTCATCTTTGGGGAAATATGTTTAGATACTTTACCCATTTTTAAATTGGGTTATTTGTGCCTTTGTCACTGAGTTTAAACTTCCTTATATGTTCTGGAAACTAGATCCTTATTAGGTATATGATTTGCAAATATTTTCTTTCATTCTGTGAGTTTTCCTCTCCAATGTATTAATACTTTCTTCAAGGAAATCTGAAACACTAATTCTAAAGAACATAAGCACCCCTGTGTTCATTACAGTGTTACTTACAATAGCCAATATTTAGAAGCAGCCCAGGTGTCCATCAGTAGATGAGTGGATAAAACAGGGACGGTACATTTACACAATGGAATAGTAATTGGCTGTAAAAAAGAAGAAAAATTTAACCCTTTTAATAGCATGGATAGACCTGGAGAACATTATGCTAAGTGAAATAATCCAGTTAGTGAAAGACAAATACCATATGATTTCACTCATATGTGGAATCTAATGAACAAATTGAATTAAGAAGTAAAATAGAATTCCCAGCCAGGGTACATTCCTGGGTTGCAGGCCATAACCCCCAGCAACCGCAGATTGATGTTTCTCTCTCTATCTGTCTATCTCCCTCCCTTCCCTCCCTAGAAATAAATAAATAAATAAAAAATCTTTTAAAAAAGGAAGTAAAACAGAGACAGACTCATAGAGAGCAGGTTGACAGTTCTGGTGGGGGGTTTGGAAGTTGGAGGGATTAAGCAAAAAAGAGAAAGAACTCATGGACACAGACGACAGTGTGGTGATTGCAGGGCAGGGGTAGGGGTGGAAGAGATTACAGGGGGGATAAATGGTAATGGGGAAAAATACAATAAAATAAAATAAAAAAAAAGACTTGTAATCAGGTAATTGCTTTTTTCTCTGTTTCTTGGATTCTTCCACATGGACTAGCAGTTAGCCCTTTTCATGTGTGTTAATATGCCTTATTTTTGTTAGGGCTCAGTCATGTGTACCTGCTGGGATGTTAATAAATGAACTGGCTGCATTGTAAATATGCTACATTAAATTGTTCCTAACAGGAACTGATGTCATCTAAAATAACTAACTCTAGAATTATTTTAAAAAATTGTAGCTTTCCAAATATTCCAATAGCAATGAGCCCATCGGACC